CTGCAGCTCCTTTTATGTGAGCCCTCTGGGTCCTGGTTGGCTGCTCCGTTCAGCCGCTCTCTGATTGGCTGCTCCCTGCACAGCCTCCCGAGGCTGCTTTTAACCCCTTGCTTTCCGGTGTGGAGTGAACACTCCATCACAGAGCAGAAAATGATTTTTTTTCACAGGAAATGTCTGGGGAGTTTTCGTTGAAAACACAAACATTTCAGATGTAACCCTCCAAAACTTCCCGAGAGAAATAATGGCCATTTCCCCAAATCAGGCAGGACTCTGCAGTGACACTGCCTCAGTTTCCTCACCCTACCTCTAGAGAAAGGATTGGCCCGTGCGTCAGGTGTTCACCGGGGAACTAAGTTCAGTTTGTTCTCTGCCACTGGATTCTCCGGGTAACCTTGGTCAAGTTATTTAGGGTTTCCCACGGAATAGTCCGTTTAAATCAGGGCCTTTTTATTCCCCAGACGCCCCAAAGGACGTGCGTGTTGAACTGGTGACGGGCTCTCAGATCCAGGAAGGGACCACGGTTGTGCTCAGCTGCCCCTGCAGGGCTCATCCGCCCGTCAGCAGCTACAGCTGGTACAGAAACGGCCAGCACCTCCCAGCACAAACCCAGCAGGAGCTGCGGTTTGACAAGATCCATCCCGACCAGTCCGGTTCCTACCACTGCGAACCTCAGAACAGAGTCGGGATGTCGGAATCGCCGGCCATTACAGTCGACGTACAGCGTGAGTAGCCAGGGCTCCAGCAGGGGGCGCTGCAGCTGGGTGGGGTATCCAGGATCTGCACTCCAGCTTGGCGTGGCAGAGCCTGCATGAATCCCGGAGGGGCAGGAGCCATAGCCACCCCCTAGGACCTCCTTCCGCCCTCTGCAGAGGCATTGGTGTGAGCGGTGGGATCCCGGTATGTACCTCAGCATCCACAGTGTCTGTTCATGGGTGGGATGCTCTCCCCATCTTGCCTTACAAAGCCCCCTGCTCGGACACAGGACCTCAGCGCAGTGGAGCTGGGAGTTAACACCCGGGGATGGATCCCCCGTCTCAGAGCGATGGGTGCAGGCTCTCTGCAGACTCAGGCAGGCGTTGACTATGCTTGGGGCAGTTCCCTCCTTTTTATTTCCTTCCTATAATGCCTCCTGAACACCGAGACACACCCCAATCTGGATTCTTTTCCAGACCCCCCCAAGGAAGTACGAATCACCCTCAAAAACCCCCAGCGCATCCGGGAAGGCGAAGCGGTGATGC